CGGACGCGCCTCGCGGGGAGACGGCCCTACCCCGAGCTCTTTGCTTTTTGGGAGGGGGTGGGTGGTGGTTTAGGGTTTGGGGTTTAGGGTTTAGGGTTTACGGCTTAGGGTTTAGGGTTTAGGGTTAGGGTTAGGATTTAGGATTTAGGGTTTAGGGGTCGCTCAGGTTTGCGGTGCTTAGGCTTCAGAGTTGTCAGGGCTGGGAGTTCTCTCTGGGTTCTAAAAGGTTACAGTAATAAGGGTTCTGTCTGCCTAAGTTATAAGAGGGTGCTGAAAGGAATCCTTTTTCATGTGTGTTATGTGGTTCAGTGTTGATCTTTCAGGTGTTTTCGATTCGGCTCTTCCGGTGGAGATCTCAACATGAAAGTCTCACGGTGCAGGAAAAGTTCTGAGAGATTGCAAGCTACAAGCCTCTTGGGTTCGAGGCTCTACTCATGATCCCTGATATCACCAGAACTCCTTACACCACAGGAGATCGAGAGATAGGCAACCCCATACTGGCCAGGAGAAGCCCTTACCCTCAACCCTCAACCTCTAAACCCCTAGACCCCCTTAAGCCCCTAAGCCCCTAACCCTAAACCCTAAACCCTAAACCCTAAACCCTAAACCCTAAACCCTAAACCCTAAACCCTAAACCCTAAACCTCTAACCCCTAAACCCTAAATCCTTAAATCCCGATCCGATAGCCCGATGGCCTGACAAGGGAGGGTGGTATAGGGGCCTTAATAATTAGAAGAGGGTTTAGGGTTTAGGGTTTAGGGTTTAGGGTTTAGGGTTTAGGGTTTAGGGTATGAGAAGGAGCCCCCCAAAAAGGTATTGGTAGTTATCTGGGATTCTACAGTGCTTCAAGGGCGGGACGGTCTCAGGGAATCTTTGGGAACTTTCGGAAATTCCAGGGAGAAGTGGGGATTAGATACCTCACTCGGACCCCACTACCTTTAGGATACCAGAATCTGGCTAATTGGGAATCTTTTTCGGAAGGTTTAGGGGTTGGGATTTGGGGTTTAGTACCTTGGCTTGGGGTTTAGGGCTTAGGATTTAGAGTTTCGAGGGTTCGCAATGTAAGTCTTAGGGTTTATAAAGAGCTTAGGGACAAGTAAGTTTGTTCAGTTTTAGGGTGCTGCTAGGGTGAAGTCTTGGGGTGTAGGGTTTAGGGAGACGGCTTCCCCCCGAACAGTGATTCAGGGCTTTAGGGTTTAGGGTTTAGGGTTTAGGGTTTAGGGTTCAGGGGTTTAAGCTATGTGTTTGTTCTTTCTGTTTTGGTATTTTCTACTTCAGCCATTTTGTTGGAGTCCATCCTTCCCAAAGCGAGGTTTTGCGATGCAACCTTCCATGTCGTTGCGTCAACATGTGAAGCCCCAGTCCACGATTGAATCCATACCGGAGAGTGTTAAAATCTTCGGGCTTAAGACTAAGCACCGTCATAGTCTAAATATGCCTAAATTAAAAGCCCAAAGCCTGAGCCCGAACCGCCCCGCGGTTCAGGGTTTAGGGTTTGGGGTTCAAGCCAGCAAGCTGCGATGCCGAAGCGCTCGATCTCCAAACCCATCTCCCAAGGCCCCTTAAACCTAACCCTCGACGACCCTACCTAATCCCCGAACCTGCCAAGGCATAAACCTTGAACCCCCAGCCTGCAACCCTGAATCCCGTAAGCCTAAACCCTAGCCCTAAATTCATGGTTTAGGGCCCCGAATTTAGGGTTTAGGGTTTAGAGTTTAGGGTCTAGGGTTTAAATGCCATAGGAGAGTTGACAGGCACTGAGTGGTGCGAAGACCTTCGCCGGAGCCACGCTGCTGCAGAGACAGCCTTTAGGGCTTTAGGGTTTAGGGTTTAGGGCGTTTAGGGCGTTTAGGGTTTACGGTTTCGGGGTTTGGGCTTACTGAGTAAGTTCTACATTCTCTATCGTTATATGACGAGTTGTTATGATGCATTGTTGATTCACAATGAGGTACTTCGGGCTATCTTGCATGACATGCTCATATAGGGGCCGAACAAATACCAGTAAGTAGTATACCTTAGAGTTCCTGAACCTTTTTTTGCACTAAGGTATATCCCCCAAAACCCCAAGCCCCAAACCCTAAACCCTAAACCCTATAAAGGCTCCCATATCACGCACGCAACGTAATCCCTAGACATCCCTCGAGGATCAGGAGCTGGGGTCTATGGGGTGAGAGTCTACCCTAAACCCCCTGCATCACTTACTCGTACATACTCTGCACTGATCCTTTTGCCTTGGTTGCGAGCGTCTCGCTTGAAGGGTGTAGGGTTGATGATTTGGGGTTTAGGGTTTAGGGCTTAGGGTCTGGGTTTAGGGTTAAGGGTTTAAGGTTTAGGGTTTGGGGTGCTCCTCTAGTGTTCGCCTATATCCCGAAACCTAAGACCCTGGTTTAGGTTTAGGGATGTAGCGTTCAGGGCTTTAGGGTTTAGGATTTGTTGGGTTTTGGAATTTCAGGCGTACGGCTCAAGGAACGGACCATAACCCCTAAACCCGAAGTTGCAACATCCGAAAACGCGCACCTTGAACCCCAAGCCTACACACAGAAAAGCAGAAGCTTGCAAAACCCTAGGCGCCGCAAATCCAGAGAGCCCAATACCCCTTATCCAAGGATACCATAAATCAACATGCTAACCCTCCTCCAATCAAGGGAGACCGGCAGAACCCTGAACCCAACACGCTAAACCCTAAACCCTAAACCCTGAACCCTAAACCCTAAACCCTAAACCCCTAAAACCCAAAACCCAAGACCCTAAAACCC